AAATTATTATATATTTTTTTTTGCAGGGTACTTATGGTGAAACGTACTTTTCATTGCCCATGGCTCGCGGTAAAGAAGTCCCTTCCAGTAAAGGTATAACTGATAGTTGCAAGTGGCCCTTCCCGATGCTTTAACATCGACGTGATCTAGGTGCTGGTCTAGTAAATTCTGTGGTTGAAGGGCTGATAAGGCCCTTTGCAGTTCTAGCCCCTTTGGGCCCCTCAATTCCCAGGTGGACCCCATAGAGGCTTTCCATGACACCAACAAGAAGCACCAAACCAGCACACTGGACGCGTCCATTTCGACTGTCTCTTCGGTTTCACTAGCACTTGTATATATAATGTAGGGCCCGTTCGGTATCACCGATCGGCCCTGATAAGTCGATATCAATAGCGGATCCCCTCGAAAAACTGGAAAACTTTTTCATAGAGGTTTCTTCAAACCTAGGAGCTAGGCAATGACCAGCCATAACCGAGTATACGTGATCTTCCACCTTGAAAAAAAAGAAAAAAAAAAATAGTTGACTGAAACAAACATTTATATTGTTGCCTGAATCATACGCAATTGCAAGGAACAATTATCTTGTTGAGAAGAAAATGTTATATCGTTATTTAAACGAATTTCTTTTGTACTCTTATTGAGGTTTCTGTGGACGCGTTCCATCGCTGGAGTTTGTTATAGCGATAAATATTATTTTGCTAATGGTAAATAATATTGATAAGTATATAATACTGATGAATTTGTCATGTACGGTAGTAATAGGTATATTGAGAACCTTGAACCGTGTTTACCAATCATTTCGACCAGTCATTGCTGTCTACGGAATTCGATATCGTCTGAACGATTTCCTCCTCCATGTGGAAAGTTGTACTTGGAAGATCCCTCTGTTTTGATAAGCGTAATCGCAGGTCCATGATTCTGTTAAGTCATCCAGGGGTCCTTCGATTACGGGCTACGCGCTGAGTAATTGTAATGACTCGCTATAATGAGGTTCCCAGGTCTCCGAACTGAGTACGACGAGACAAGATTAGGTCATTTTTACCGGAGAGTAACTTTCTGCTTATGAGGGCGTAATTGTAATTAATAGAATTAATATTACCAAATTATTTTAATCACTCTCGGTATTGTGAGGTTCCCAGGTCGTCGAACTGATTACGGCGAAGTAAGATTAGGTACTTTGCACCGAAGAGAAACTGCCTGCTTGCGAGTGCATGTAATTACTATGACTTATCTAATTACTATATTTAATATTATTAAATAGGTGTAATGACTTTCTCATTATGTTATCCCGGGGTCACCGAAATGAAGTCACTGAGGCTTTCTGCGTACTAATGAATTGTAATTGTCATGTGTTTACTAAATGATAATGATAATTATACGCGCAGAAAAATATTTCGAGTGATTGAATTGAACCAAATGCAGTAAATCGGTTTTGTTCAATGAACCAAATTTTTTTTGGTTCCTCGAGAAGGAGCGATTTTCTGTGCGGGAATGAATTATAATTATCATCTATGTAGTAAATAATTGTAATGGCTTTTATTATGTCATCCCTGTATCACCGAATTAAACAAATCGAGAAAAAAATGTGGTTCTCAAGTCACTGAAATGGAAACATCGAAACGAGATTGAAGACATTACATCGAAAATGAACTTTCACCATGTTGAGTACGAATTGTAATTATCATGAGATTACTATACTATACTATATTACTATACTATACTAAAATGTAATGTCTCTATCATTATGTTATCTCGAGGTCGCCGAAATGAAGTTATAAAGTTTCCGTATACAAATGAATTGCAATTGCCACGTGTTTACTAAATAGTTGTAATGAGTCTATCATTATGTCATCTCTGAATCACTGAACCGAAAATATCGAGAAGAGATTAGATTCTTTGCATTTTAATTTTAATTAATTTGCCTAGCTTTAACCCTTTAGCTACTAAGAGCGCCTAAAGGCGTCCGACATTTGGTCCAATATTGCCTGCACGGTCAGACGAATTTCGCCCATATGTCGAAATGGCTCCGTGTTCAAAGGGTTAAAATGTACCTTGGTGAGCGACCTGAAGACGTCGCGAACAGATTTACATTTTACATCGATAATTGAGTTACTGCAAGTACGTGTAAACCGATGAAAATCAGACTTGTAACCATGACAAATCATTCCCAAGTATCGCGAGATTTTTTAACAAATTCTGAAAGAAAAATCTAAGCGTTAATGTGCGTCACTTAGAGCTGATTACACCAATCATGATTAGTGCGAAATTCCTCAACGATGGCAAGTTAATACAAAATTACTGCAATTCATGTCGCACCGAGAAAAATTATGCTAATCGAAGATTAACGTCCATTGATTGGTAACCATCCGAAGTCGAATGATTAACTCTAATCACGCGTTAAATAATCCTTGATTAAGTATTTAACTCAAATCTTGATACAGTCTTCTTCCATCCGTACTTGATGAAAAAGTCTCGCCGATTGTCGACTATCTTTAAAAATATCCTTGCCAAAACTTCGAAGCACCCGGTAATGCCTTGATTAACTCTAATCACGCGTTAAGTAATCCTTGATTAAGTATTTAACTCAAATCTTGATACAGTCTTCTTTCATCCGTACTTGATGAAAAAGTCTCGCCGATTGTCGACTATCTTTAAAAATATCCTTGCCATATCTTCGAAGCACCCGGTAATGCCTTCAGCAGACTCTCTGTAAAACTTTCACTCGTTCAATGCACAACTTTTCGTCTTTTTGTTAATCGTATTCGGAAGAACATGAAAAACTGGTTCCTCCCGTTGTAACAAACTTTGCGCACTGAATGCAACCGAGATCTATACTTAAAGACCAGAATTCAGATTTCCTCAGTTCTGAAAGGACACTTTGAGGTGCAGGACTCTTCAGTCCTTGAACATTTCCGGAAGAATCCAGCAGTCCCTTAATTTTCTTTACTCACATCCGGTGTGTATTTTATCTTAATCGTCTTCTTAATTTATATCTCTTTTATTCTTCCAATAATTCCCTTTCTATTTGTCGTGTAGGAAGTTCATATTAAACAGCCCATAAAGAGTCTCAACCCTTTCTTCTTGATCGATTTCTCTTCCGGTGAGTAATTTCATCTTAATTTTCATCCTCCTTAAGGTAATGTGAAAGTGGCGTCGGAGAGGTTTTCTTTATCAAACTTTTCTCCCTACTCGGTTTACCGAATAGTTCTAGAAACTTTACTACGTGAATAGGGAGACTATAAGGAAGGTCCTGAAACTCATGAAATTTCAATTATTTTCAAATTTGTTTATAGGTATTTTAAAAACAGTTTATAAAAAATGAAATTTCGCGAGTTTCAGGACCTAACTTAGGGTCTCCATATTCATGTTTTAAAGTATGAAACGATTTGAGACACCCAGTTCGTAGAAAAGTTTTATGAACGATCGAGCTTTCGGATGCCACTTTCATATCTCCTTAATCCTCTTCTTCTGATGCGTTTCATAATTTTCTCTTCATCCTTTCCTAACATGTCTGATAAAAATGCAGTTTCCCGGAAATTTCATATCGACTATCTCCTCAGATTAAAATCCCAAGAAGCTGACATCATGCTCACTTTGTTGGCGCTGCTGATGGTGACTTTAACCCTGATCTATCGATATCTGACCATGAACCACAATTATTGGAAAGATCGAGGGGTGCCTTTTCCAAAGCCGGAGCTTTTCTTCGGTAACCAGAGAAACTCCATTCTGTTGAAGAAAACCATAGGCGAAGACATCCAAGAAATTTATCAAAAGTTCAGTGGACATCGTTACGTTGGATTCTTCCAATTCATGAAACCCGCCCTTATCCTGCGGGACCCTGCCCTCCTGAGGACCTTGCTGATTAAGGACTTCCCAAATTTCCAAAGTAACTTGTCTTGCACTTTTTTATGTCCGTATTCATATAATCTACTATCTTGATATCTTCAGGTCGTGGAATCTTTACCAACGACGACAGTGATCCCTTCACTGCGAATTTAGTTAACTTGTCAGGACCAAAATGGAAATTACTTCGAACAAAGATTTCTCCAGCTTTCACCTCAGCCAAGCTCCGAAACATGAACACGTTAATTATGGACGCGGGTAAAAGATTTCAGGTAAACAAAATATTAATATCAAAACCTCTGATCGCTACTTAAGGGGGCTAGTAAGTTGTGAAATGCGTTTTAATCGAAGGGAATACAATTCAATATAGAATGAAAAGTTGGAGGAAATGTTTCCTTAGAGGGCTGTATTCTTTGAGGTGTGATATTTATTTAATTTCGTGCGATATTTATTTAATTTCATCCCCTCATTTGTTATAGCGACTTTTTCCGGTTTTCTTCAATCAAATGTGCTTTTCCAGACTTACGTTGAAAATCATGTAGTAGACAAAGAAGAGGATGTGGAGATCAGTAGCCTCGTCGCCAAATTTATGACAGAAATTGCCGGCACCTGTTTATTCGGACTCGAGATGAACGCTTTACAGAATGAGGTGCCGGAAATCCGAAAACTGTGCAATAAATTTACCAGACCCTCGACCTACCTCACTGTATTGAGATTCATCAGGCAGCACTTCTTGTGGTTCTTCAGGCTGTTCAATTTTCGTATGAATCCTATTGGTGTAGAGGCATATATGATAGCCATAATAAAAAATGCCATACAATACAGAAAGGAGCACAACGTGGTAAGAAAAAGAAATAAATTGTATATAAAGTAAGTTAAGTAAGTAAGAATGGTTGAAAATCGGAAGGTGCTCGCTATTCGCACTAAAATAGATAGAAATAAGTAAGTTAAAGAGAATTATCATATACTACTAATTATTATTAATTATTCTTTCGGGAAAATTGTGCCTATACTAAAACACAAAGATAAATGAGAATAGTAATTAACTGTAAAGAAACATTTGAATGAGATACCGAGATATTGATGAGCAGTGCCTTTGACATCAACTTTACCAAGCCAAAAGCACAGCCGCTTATAAGATAAATAAATTGCATTTGAGTTATTTGTTATCTATACAATTGCGGACGATTGTCCTTGTTAAACATCTATGTTGATACTTCAGGTCCGGCCAGATTTAATGCAACAACTTATCGGCATAATCGACGAAGAAGTGGAGACCGATGGAAGTAAGGTCGAGGGCTCTGAAAATGGTAGGCCATTGACATCTATTTTCGGCAATTTGTATATCGTTTATATACGTTAATTATTGATCATTCTAGCGATTACACTACTGGTCGTCGCTGCCCAGGCTTACGTATTGCTTCTCGCGGGCTTCGAGGCCTCCTCCAGAATCGTGAACTTCGCCTTGTACGAACTGGCAAGGAATCCCAAAATCCAGGAGAAACTCCTAGAAGAGATCGACAGTACTGTAGAAAAACACGGATCGTTTTCCTACGATGTAATTCACGGGATGGAATATCTGGATCGAGTCGTTCGCGGTGAGGAATAAGAATGTTCCTTTTAATTTCCCGCCCGCGTCACTTGGCGTGGATTTGAATTCCCCGCGCTGCGAGCGCCATCTGTGTAACACCCGCGGAACTTTTTACCCGTTTCCGTCTACGGGTAATGCACGAAACTTTCCGACCTCAATTACATTACATCGATACATAATTAACGTTACACGTAATAATCGTGTTTCACTGGAAAATTATCGTTGTCAAGACAAAGTTTCCTTATACAAAGTAGACTTATGCACATGGGTAGTGAATTTCAAATTAATATTGATTACGATCACTTTCAGAGACAATGAGGAAGTATTCTGTGATAGATATGAGCCAACGACGGTGTAACAAGACCCACGTATTTCCCGGAACCGACCTAACAATAGAAGAAGGCATTTACGTTATAGTGCCCATTATGGCGTTGCACCGAGACCCGGAATATTTCCCAGAGCCGGAGAAGTTCGATCCCGACAGATTTTTGGATAAGAACGCCCTAAAGGCTTATTTCCCCTTCGGTGACGGACCAAGAAAATGCATTGGTTGGTCAAGGAAATATCAATCACGCCCGTATTAATAATCTCGTATTGGCAGTTTATTTTGGAATACGTCTGCACTAATGTAGAGCTCTTTTAAAAATGTCTAGCATTTGGCTGTATCGAATAACGAAATAGTTTAGTCAAAAGTCATACGTGGAAACAGACTTGCGCGACACGCGTGTCTCGCGTGCGTGAAATTCTCAACGCGTTTCGTATCTCCTGCAAGAGAGGCGGAATGCCACCGTTAAAAATACCTTTTAAAAGTATACTATACGTATAGTCGAAATTTTGTTAAAATTCGATGTTTCGAAGTTTCCTGTACAATTATGTTCTGGAATTTAGAATACAAATGTAGGAATTCCAGAGGGCATGTACACGAAATTTCGACATACGGTTGTATCGTGTTTTTCGATTATGTAAACATGCGCAATTGCATGGGTCTTGATTTTCTTCTTTTTTTTTTTTTGTTTTCTTATCATGTTTGGGTACAAATTGTATCTGACATTGATTTCCGATTAACACTGGTTAAATTTCGAGACGTAATTACGAGGTAAATGGAAACTAACTATGGTATTGCGAATGTTAAAGTATTTGTCTTTTATTTTCAGGAGCCAGATTCGCGTCTCTCCAAATCAAGACTTGTATTATATATTTACTAATGCGGTTTATGGTAACGGAGACTCCGAGAACTAAGCCTTTTCTTACATACGATACCACTTCTGGTATCCTGACCAACAAAAATGGAATCTGGATGAAAATTCTAAACCGACCAGGGAAAGAACCGAAAATTCCTACTGGCCTTGGGAAAGAATTCTTGGAAGTCTCTCCCTCCGCGTAAAACCGCTCGACATATTTACCAAAAAAACTATCATGTATCCATACGTTCGACAATCTGTTTCTTTTACTTCAATTGTTGTATACTATCGTAATACCCCGTAAAACATTACAGAACTGAAATGGATATTTGCAGTTTCTTTTATTGGCGCGAAAAATTATAAATGTAGCGATTTGGTAGCTGCTTTGGCAATGATATTTAAATCTCTGAAACGTTTGCAATTTGAATGTCAAAAGACAATAAAATGGAATGTACGTGAGGTAATGAAACGTAAAAAATTAAACTTGTTGCATTGTGTTGAAACCATAGTAGTTTACTGAACGAAAAGGTATTTCGCGGCTTTATTGTAATCACGATTTATGAATGCTGAAAGGACGCCATATTTCACCACGTGATCACGTGTTTACCAACCGTGTCATTTATGTTTCTGCCACCAGTTGTTGCCCAACTCGTCTCTGCCACTCTATTACGCTACTATCAGCTACTACGTCGGTAATTACTACAGGTGACGTATGTTAGTATCGTTTATCAGAATTTCATATGCTATAATATCATACCATAATCAGAATTTGTGTCGGTAAATATTCGTGTCTCTACTATTCCCCTTTTAATGTACCGATATTTATCATTTTATTCATTACTCTTTTTATCTTTGTTCCTAGAACGACAAGATTAATTTCAATGTCTGTGAGGCAAAAGGCAATAGCAGCGGTATGTCAAATGACAACCACTGTTGATAAAACTAAGAATTTAGGAATAGTTAGTGAATTAGTTGCGGAAGCCAAGCAACGATTAGCTACGGTAAGCGATAATATAAGTCTGTTGGTTTCTTCGTATCGTTCAAGGGTATAAATTTTTAGATTGCATTCTTCCCAGAGGCTTGTGATTATTTGGCAGACAATAAAAAGGACATCGTTGCTATGGCAGAGCCCTTGGATGGTCCTACAATCCAAAGCTACAAAAAGCTTGCCAAAGATCACCAGATTTGGCTATCTTTTGGAGGAATTCATGAAAAAGTAATACATAATTTCATTATCTGCCCGCTTTCAATGAAATGACGTTGCTTAAAAAAAGGATGAATGTTCAATTGTTGTTGAAGATACCTAATTGCAGCTGCCAGATGAGTCGGAGAAGATTTGCAATACACACATCTTAATTAACAGTGAAGGACAAGTGGCTGCAAGGTATCGCAAGGTGCACCTCTTTGATATGGAAAACAAAGAAATTGGTGTTCGGTTAATGGAGTCAGATTATGTTGTGAAAGGCAGCGAAATAGTATCACCTATTGCCACACCAATTGGTCAACTAGGACTCAGCATAGTATCCTTTCAGAAAATTCCTTTTCTTATATAGTTAATTATTCTTCAATAAATGGGCCTTAACTTCAAAATAGTGCTATGATATGCGTTTTCCTGAGCTCGCCCTGGCTCTGCGAAACATGGGTGCAGAAATTCTGACTTATCCATCTGCATTTACTTACGAAACTGGAGCAGCCCATTGGGAAGTGTTACTTCGCTCACGTGCCATTGAGTCGCAGTGTTATGTCATAGCTGCTGCTCAAATTGGCAAACACAACAAGAAGCGCACCAGTTGGGGCCATGCTATGGTGAGATCATTTGCATAGCAAAACAAGTTTTGTCATTCCAGAAATTAATTGACTATGTAACAATGTTTTCAGATAATTGATCCATGGGGATCAATGATAGCCCAGTGCTCGGACACAATTGGTATCGCTGTGGCAGAAGTAGATTTGAAATTGTTAGAGAAGATACGTAAAAACATGCCTTGTGAAAACCATCGTCGGATAGATTTGTATCCAAAGGTACAAGCTTTAAATACAAGTTTATAAACGAAGTCTATTACATTCCACTTTGACGTAATTCACAGAGGTATGTAAAGAAGTTAAGTAAATGTGTAAATTATTAAATTGTATACCAACTATAAAATATGCAAATTTAATGAACTGATGTGTATATATGTGTAATGTTATACAGCAATTGATATGAATACGAAGATTATTTGCCAAGATTTAATAAGGAAACTATATTTTATGCTAAAAGCCTTCATTTTATAAGGTATTATCTTATTTTCAGTTGTTGAATTAATTAAACTGTATGTATAAACGATAGAAAGTGGATTTTTGAATACTTTTAGACGATGAATCTGATTGGTCAAAGTTCGCCCGGTATCGACCAATCAGAACTTCGCAGAATCAAAGATGGCGTCTCAGCAACATCAGCTTGTATCGTAGTGACTCTGCCCTCTGTTTATCGTTTCGTTCCTTGACTACTCCCCTCCTCCTGCACGCTTTTATTCGACGCTATCTTTTCTGAGTCATTTTGACGTTCTCCGTCGAAGTTTGAATTTACAACGGTTAATTTCATCAAAATCCTTAAATCCTGCTGCGAGTGCGTCCAATGTACCGCACCATCGGTACGGGGTTTTAACTGGTGATTATTTGCACATTCTTCAAGCTAAGTACATTACTAAAATATCTTAAACTAGTTGAAAGTTTGTTGGCTTTGCAGCTGGATGCTTTTGAGGTACTTTTGAAGTTGACAGTGGCGGCTTTTTTCGAATATCTCGGAAGATCTTAACCCCCTAGCACTGACCCAGCCCACAAATGGATCCATTCACTGAAGTAAGAGTGGCGTCTTTTATATTTTATCTCAATTCAAACTTGCATTTCCATTTCTTAGTTCTCTGTGACTCTTAATTTTTTATCCTAAGATATTTGTAGTTGCTAAGGCATAATCTATTTCAATTATTAGCGGATGTTAGAACGCGCCAGAGCGAGGAGAGAAAAACTGGATACACAATTGTCGAATGCTGGTCACGACGTCAGAAAATATCGAACCCCACTAAAAGATGCAAACATTGCCACAGTCCAAGCACAAGGTTAGTAACGGTGTAAATTAGGAAATTCAAGCCAATGTTATCCTATTAATTTTTATTTTATGTGATATAATTCAAAGAATATCATGAGTAAATAAAATTTATATCTTTTAATTAATGTTAATCATTATTTTATAAACATTAAAGGACAGACAAAAACTCAGTCACCGACCAAGGCGACTGTTCTAGCAAAGAGCTCTCCAGGGAAGTCTCCTTCAAAATCTCCACAGAAACTATCTATTTCAAAAGAATCTGTCAATGAAGGAAGAGGTACTAATAAAGAGAATGGAGATGGCCCGGTGTCAAATATTCGGTCGAAATTACAACGATTGGGAAAATTATATTCTGGTAAGTTGCATCTTGAAATTACTTTAGACCTTTATTAAACAGGAGAACTTTTTGCAGAAGATGGCAGTCGAGAATTAAGCTCACCCATTCATAGAACAGAGGAAAAATTTTCTGCAGAAGATGAGTCTTCTAGCAATAAGTCAACCAAACCAGGTGCTCGATTAGGGAGACTGGCTGTTCTGGCATCAACAATTAACAATTGGGAAGACGATCTGCATCATGTAACAGGGGTAAGACACTTATGAATTCTTTAATTTAATATCATTGAAATACAATTTCTTGTTGTTTGATACATGACACATTTTCCTACTTTAGAGCAAATATACGGATAGCAAAGATATGGATAACCAAGCAGAATCAAATCAGCATTCAGCAAATACTCAATCTACCCCAACTGAATCTGGAAAAGAAAGCAAAACCGATAATGCTGAAAGGAGGAAATATGGAAGTCCTTTGAAACAGTCTGGTCCGACCAAATTGGTAATTTTTATCTTCTCAACATCCATTTAAGTGAAATTGTATTATATGTAATAAGTTGTTCAATTTCTAGGACTCAAACATGGGAAAATCAACATCCCCTAGTAAATGGATTACTAATGCTGGAAGATCAAAAACAAACTCGCCTTGTGCCAATGAAAAAAATGATGTGAATTCTCCAAAATCCATAACTTCTTCGTCTTACAGCAGTCCAAGAACCCCGGATAGAACAGGCAGTAAGAATGGCCCTACTGTGAGTAGTAGTGTGAGGCCTGTAGCAAAATATGGCTCCCCAAAGAGCACCATTGGCTCTCCTGGCTCTGTATTAAGTAAAGCTTCCTTATTTGAGTCAAAAAGTGTTGAGACCAAGACAAAGGATCCTGCAGAGATGACTCTTTGTGAGAGGATGGCTCTCTTTGAAAGAAATAAGGAGAAGGTCCCCTTGCTTCCAAAGGCTCCGCTTACTTCCTCAGTACCTGTGGAGAAATTGCAAGAAAATAAAAGAGTACCTACAATTACGAGACAAGAAAGAGGTATGCATGATTTTTCACATGTGACTGAATGTCTTGACAGAAAGGTGAACATTCCTTCTCTTTTAAGTACTGAAGTCATTTCTAATTACGAAATAAGTTTTTATTCAACATTGGAACAGAACGAATTTGATTCATTTATCTGATTTTTAATTATTTCAGAAAATCCTATCTCATCGAATCGGTCAAAATTTGAGATGAATTCGAATTCAGTAACCTCTCGGTGTGCAGTTTTTGAACAGGGTAATCGTGTTCAAGAAATGGAGAATAATATTCTGAAAGATGTGCAGAGTGAGAGGCAACGAGAGATGGAGATGCTGAGGTCTAGATTCAACAAAAACAAAGAAGTGGCGCAAGTTGCAGCTGGTTCTTGCATCAGGACCAGCGAAAGCAGTGAAGGAAAGTCTTCGTCATCTAAAAACTCACCAGTGTGTCCAGTCAAGCCAACTCCAGCTCCGGTAATTGTTTATTCGCTCCTCCCTTTACGATTACAATTGTACCAGCTGCAGAAAAATAATCTTTCCATGGAGTTTGTATTAATCTTTTTATATTTAAGGATCTTGTGCCTCCACCACCACCACCACCTCCACAGACCTTGACGGTAACTCCAAAAAATTCTTCGCCCATTAGAGCGTTCCAAGTTAATAAGAGAAAAGGTAATGACCATAAATAATTACGGATTTTTATAATGTTATAATTAATTTAATGTTCATATTCAGGAAGAATTCATTTAATTTTCGAATTTGCAGGAGACAGTTCGCCAAAGTCACAACCAAGTCGACAGCTTGTTAATACAAATGCGAAAACGTCTGCGTCTACAGACCACCGTCTCTATCCAGACCTCTCCATACTACAGTCAACGGAAACCGAAACAGAAACCGAATTCACTATTGGTACGACAGAGTCAGATGCAATTACCCTTGACGATAAGACAGACACAGACATCACTTCAGATTCCGAATACTCTGTGCAGGTATGTTGCTAATAACTAAAATAACAAAGGAAAGTTAAGTAGAAAAGTGATTCACCTTACTGATCGTATTCCGTTTTTCTTTTACTTCATTTCTTAGAGAGAAGATGACGCTTCAAGTACTCAAGACAGTGACAGCATAACAAACACCAGTCTTGGTAGAAGTATCTTGCATGCCGTAGGCCATCAGTCAGCCCTTAAGAAAAAGGTATATAGAATTTAGGGAAAAGAAATTATTATATATATCTTTTTATAAAAGTTAGAGATTTTTAGTAACTAAAGGTACATTTCAGAGATCAATTGAGCCTGATCCAGACAGTGTTCCCTCTGACACTTCGGCATTGGATGAAATGGAGTATCTCGATGAGTATACTGTTTCATTTGGTAATAATGGAAGAGAGAAAGAGGGACCCACTCCAGCAAAGCTGAATAAGGGAGGCCGAAGTCCATCAACGCCCCATGCTAACTCCAAAAACAACCAGAGGTTAATTTTCATTTATGGATAATAGATACTCTTTTCCCTTTGAAGCACAAAAACTTAATTCCTTTTTCTCTTTTAATAAAAAATTATATACAAGATGTTGAATGCGCTTGTTCTTACATAATTTCTTTGATATTGCAGATCGCCATATCGCTCGCCGATTAAAACGGTGTCCCCTTCAACCCCTAACATCGGTGAGCCATGTGTAGTGGAAGGAGACAGTTACGTACCTCTAAAGCATAGTATTAGCTTCTACAGGCGACAACAGTCTCAGGTGAGAAAGAACTCGTAGCCATGCTTCATTTAAGCCGAAGCCTTATCATTTTATAAACATTGACTTACTTATAAAAGTCTGTTCTTCATTTGATAGACTCCGAAGACTCCGATACGTTTTGTATCTCGAACTACGGAGAGTGAGGTAGACAGCTCAGGACGAGAGCGTTCTCGCACAAACGGTGCAGATGAAGCAATTCTGGTCCAGGATAAAATTAAAAGGTTATTGGACGAGGTTTGCAAACAACAAACGATCATCGGCCAGGCTAGCCAAGCTCTGAATCTGTGCAGCTCCACGATTGAGTTCTCAGGTTCGAGGGAGCAAGTTGAAGGAGAAAGACTACTGCTCGTTGCCAGTAATTATTTTCCTTCCTATTATTAATTCTTATATCGTTTATAAATAACTATAATTCGATAAAATTCAGGAGAGTAAAAATGCGACTAGGGTCATATTTGACAGAAATAATACCATGCGTTTAATTTTTGTTGCTCAGATCAGAGACGGCAAGCAGCTCTAAATGAGATTCAGAGATTGAAAGTCGAGGGTACCTTACATCCAGTGACTCCAGGAACACCGGAGATACAAGAAAGTGGATCCTTGACAATATCAGCCATCAGTCTGCCACTGAAACCAGAGTATTTTCGAAAAATTGAACCGGGTAAGTTAACTATAAAGTTAGCCTAGTATATAATAAGTGAAAGTATTGCGCGACACTTTAAACATTAATGATAAAGGTAGAAATTTATTTTTCTTTTTACGGTGTCTCAAAGTGTACCTTGTTTCGTCTTTTAGACACGTGTTTGCATTTCGTCTGCCTGGTACGTCATTTGGAGAATGTCGTTACCACTCCAGCAGTTCTAGCTGAGACAGGAGACTATTCCGTTCGGTTTCCTTCGACACTGAAACTTCAGGACCTCTACAGCGACTTCAAAGTAACCATCGAGATATACTCCCTCGAAACCCGAGCAGAGATTCTACCACACGAAATTAAATACCACATTCACAACAGCGGTAGTGGCAGTGGTGCTGGCAGTTCTTCCAAGAAAGTGAGTACGACTACCATCGGAGACATTAAATGCAAATTAATAGATATTTACCAGGAATGTGGAACTTCATGTGTCTTGTTACAGTCCTCTGGTAAGACTCCGAAGAAGTTATTGAAACAGGAGAGCAATTTAGTGATGCCTGCTGTGTACAGTCCTGGGGGACCATCCGCTGTTCGGACTCCTGCATTCTCACCTGCTGGTTACGTTGTGTTCAGCCTTCGGGAGGTGAATCGTCAGCAATTCACCTTGAATAAGGTTACTATCAGACATTATTCTAAATCTCGTAGATTAATATACACTTACATACGTTATATACGTATGCGCGAAGCCATGTGTATGCGTAAAACGCCAAGTTTGGGCTTGCTAAACCCGTAAGAATTAATATCCCCGTATTTAAGTAATCCTTTAAACATCTCCAATGTCAGGTTCTGCTCGCTCAGCGTATTCAGTTTAAACGACCTTGATATATTGTATTTTCATTTTTATAGGTTCCTCGGTTGTCTCCTTTGGTCGGGAAGTTGCAAATGCATGTATCCTGCGAACTGTCAGTGTCTGTCGAACATCGTGGTTTCCTCACAATGTTTGAGGACATTTCTGGCTTCGGAGCCTGGCACCGTAGGTGGTGCTTGCTCAAGAATGGATCTCTGTCTTATTGGAAGTATCCGGATGATGAACGCAAGAAGGAACCTATCGGAGTCTTGGACTTGCGAGGTAAGTGTACTTACATTTGTGTAATTTTTTTTTCTATTCGGTGAGACTCTATTTATTCATGCTTTGTAAGTAATATCCCTTCTCTCTCAGACGTCACTACAATAGATGTCAACTTGGTATCTCGAGACATTTGTGCACGGCCTCACACTTTCCTGCTAGAAACTGTGCGTCCTGCACATCCTAACGACACAGACACCCTGATTACTATCAGAAATGGTTCGGAGACTACAGAGAGGTACAGCCTGATTAAATACTACTAAATAACAGGCTTTTTGTAACATCGATTGAATTAACGTTGATTAATTTTTAGGCACTTACTATCAGCAGACACGAAGGAGGATCGATTGGAATGGTGTGCTAAACTGAACAAGACGTTGACTCTAGTCCGAACATGGGGAGGTGCTTCTAACTCATCCTGATTGTCGAAATAGACCAGAATCAGCAGAGACAACTGAGTGTGACATGTCTGTTGCTTGAGTTTGACAAATGTATGTATTTTCTGACCCTTGGAGTGGATTGGAATCGGCAGAGATGACAGGAGGCAATTCGGCTATCAATCAATTTCTACAAATTGTACGTATTCTTAAGTGTATACCTAGAGTGGTGTAGAAAACTTCTCTTGTAACAATTGCGCAGATCAATTAAGCAATCTTTATTTTACAATCGATTTGGTAGCGTTTCACCTTAGAGTACATCTTGTGCATTGATGCACATTCATCGTGGGGTGTAAACTAATCTACGTATAATTTTCATCATGAGGATAAATATTCATACAATGCTTTTTGCATTTTAACAGATGCACAGCGATGGGCTCGACTTGATATATAATTTATTCGCTGATTGATAAAAAAAAATTAGATAAACAGTTTCTAAGTTATTCCAAATTAGTCGGATAGTTTTCTTTGTGGAAAATAAGTATTCGTGTGTATATTTTATTTAAATGTTTACCTATGGTCAAGTCATTGATACAATAGCATTCGGCAAATAGATTCAAGCGAAGAGCTACGATTAAATTTCTGCTTGCCCATCGTTGGGAATCTCATGCGTGCTGCAGTTGCGTTTATACTTATGTCAACGCATCTCAATTAACCGTAATTCCAAGCTAACCATGACTGATGTTTGGTTAATTTCATATGTAGTGCGAGTTATACACAAACATGTATAATGTAATAAGATACCATAGCGTGTAGTTTTTGTACTAAAACCAGGTTTGAAAGTCCGGTATCTCGGCTTTTTCAACGTGTGACGAAATCAATTGTTTTTTATCCTTCGGTCAGGGTCCGCAGCGCTGAATTATATGATTTTAAAAAGAAAGAACTTATCGCCGCCACTGTCAGTAGAACGGCTAATTATCTTCGTCACTTCACGTCTAAATGTTTCATTTTTCTTTCACTGTGGCGCTGTCAATTCCGCTGCCCTGCAATGTATCACTTAAGGCAATTAATCTGCACGTGTAATGTACTTTGCGCGTATAATTCCTGGCCATGGGTGGAAATTAATATTCTTAAACGAAGTCCACATCCTGTGACTTCAAACTTAAGCACATATTTCCTACCTCCACTGCGTATGTAAGTTGATACATTGCAAAGTGGCGACAATTGTGAAGTACCCAAATAATGAAGTATTCAGTTATATCTGATGTTCCTTGCCCTCGGGAGGGCATACGATTTGTATCGTTTTATATAATGCAGATTCAGTTAACACACAAATTTGGCTGGATTTCATGCCACCTTTTGTGATTATTTTCATTCCATTTACAGTCATTCTGTGGAATGACGTTAACTGAACGTGAGCTAACGAATGTAATGAATGTGTCTGTAAAGAAATAGTAAAAACACTCATTTGTAAGAGATCATTCTTACGTCTCTCTTTCTGAGATTTCAAGTGACTATTTCTCTGCATTCACGCTTTGATCAATTTTTATTGTAACAAACACTCACTGAGGCCTTGTCGCCATGAGTATTTTCGTTTATGTATAAACGTATTTTCTACGTTTTTATAGAATTTCTACTAGGCTAATACAGACCGAGATTATGTATAATTAAAGGTAACTCTTTCATTTGAATTCTTATTTATTCTTTTTACATTCGATTACCATGTTTTTCAAAATATTAAGGTGAGATAAACCTACCTTAAACCAGTCGATCTGAACGAGTAACCTTTTTAAAGGTAAATGTTATTGAATATGCTAAAATTTTAACATATTATAGCTCATAAGCACCTAAGATAAGTCCAGACACTTTCAAAACTTGCATTTTTAACATTGTTTTGACTTGGCCTAGAACAGGACGAAAATCTTATAATGGATTTCGCGATGCGATGTCGCTAAAAAACGTAGGGTAGAGTTCCACTTGCACGCGCTAGATGTCGCCACTGAAGCTTGCCGGGTTCCACAGCAGCCAATCAGAATTCGTGCTTTTGTAAACTAGCAATAAGTGGCGATAATACAAACAAACCTAACGCGTCACCATTCCCGTCGGCTTAACCCGTTCTCCGATCTCTCGCGCGTACTTTCCCAGGAGATACCGAAGTGTTTAGTCCGCCGTAAATAAATACGAAATTTGGAGAAAATGACCGAGCCGCAGTGCAAAAAGAGCAAGACCGAGAACTCGCTGGTGCAGCTGAAGACTATGACGACGGTCGTCGCCGACACCGGCGATTTTCACGGTGAGTGTAAATGGAAAATCACTACTCGTGATCGGCGAAGGTTTTCTTCGGGTCAAAAGTGAAGGTTAACATCGCAGTACTCGCTGCCGGTGACCACGTGGAGGATATTCGCCCTCGTAATTATAAAAGAAATGAGGCCATCGTTCGCATAATTTCACGATTCTTCCCCGTTTTTATCAAAGAATCACCTGTAGCTTTTTGAAAGGTACGCCAAGGTGACTGTCAATTATCTAATTCCACCGGCATTCACTTGGTCACAGGAGAGGGCAAGCGCGGGTAATTTGAAAATTGTCGAAGTCACCACTTGCCTTTCCATTATTAATACAGTTGCGTAAGATCATTAACCTTCTAACGATGGGATTTCTTTTTTAATTTCTTTTCTAAGCGTGTATCTGCATGTGTAATTATAATTAAACAGTGACGAGGATACTTCACATGCGGAGTAAATCCATCTAGTGTATATTTTTATAGCGGAAGGTATTTTATTTTTTCACATAAGTATTCTCATTAAACATCTTTAAAGGGTTAAAGGAGCTATCGAGCAGAATGTACGTCCTATAGAATTTCGGAGGCTGTTTGCTCACTTGCGTGGGGTAACCTTGCGTAATAATGATGTAATAGTAGTCCCAGAGATTAGCGAGGAAAAACGACAGCATAGGACAATAATACATTGTGTATGTATGTATGGATCTTGTTTTCCATAGCCATGGAGCAATTCAAACCAACGGATGCCACAACGAATCCTTCTCTGATCCTCGCAGCGGCGAATCAAAAGAAGTACGCACACCTGATAGACAAAGCGGTCCAGTATGGTAAAAAGGCTGAAAGGTAAGATGCATCGCCGTAAGGAAAATACACGAATAAAATAATAGGCATCGGGGAGATATAGAAGGGGCTTTCTTTTTTAGTACTCTGGCTAAACAGTCGGAGGCAGCTCTGGACTTCACCTGCGTTCTGTTTGGACAGGAGATCTTGAAGATAGTTCCTGGACGTGTTTCTACGGAAGTCGATGCCAGGCTGTCCTTTGACAAGGAGGCCAGCATCGAGAAGGCTAAGAAGCTTATCAGTCTCTACGAAGAGGCTGGTATCAGCAAGGAACGCGTGCTCATTAAACTCGCCTCTACCTGGGAAGGCATTCAGGCTGCCAAGTCAGTCTGCTCGTTTTATTCTGTCTAGATTTATGTGCAGAGGCAGCACAAACTGCGCACGAAATGATGAAATAAATTCCATTTCAGAGAACTCGAGGAGAAGCATGGCATCCACTGCAACTTGACACTTCTATTCTCGTTTGCACAGGGTGTCGCCTGCGCGGAGGCTGGAGTTACTCTTATATCCCCGTTTGTGGGAAGAATACTCGATTGGTGAGTTTAGAAAATAAAAATCGAGAATGAAACCCATTATGTATCTCAGATAAGACTTACATCGCACGAATTGTATTCTCAACGGGGCGTTACATCTTCCGTTTCCATTCATTTCAGGCACCTCGCAAATTCAGGCAAGAAGTCGTTTGAGCCGAAAGAAGATCCAGGAGTCGTTTCCGTGACGAAGATCTACAATTACTATAAGAAGTTCGGCTACAAAACTGTCGTCATGGGCGCTTCGTTCAGGAATGTCGGTGCGTCAAAGTCTTCAGGAAAAGATTTAGACGTTAGCGATGTCAAAGAGAATTAATAAGCGATTTCAAAATTACAGGCGAAATCCGAGCCCTCGCCGGGTGCGATTACTTGACTATCAGCCCGAACCTTCTGGAGGAACTTGAGAAGAGCAACGAGCCGGTACACAAAGTTCTGACCGAATCGGCGGCGAAGAAAAGCGACCTCCAAAAGATATCCGTCGACGAGGCTAAATTTAGGTGGCTCCTTAACGAAGATCAAATGGCTACGGATAAATTGAGCGAAGGGATTAGAAAGTTTGCCACTGATGTGCGCAAACTGGAGAACTTGCTGCAGGAAAAGCTTCAGGCTTAGTACGTCGCCCGACTACGCATTAAATGTTTCATGTATATAGATAATACCTGGTGTTTTACCGTTTCTTTTTAATGGCATTTTACAAACTTGTACATTCCTCGGCATTATTGTCGAGACGGAGGGGCGGTGTATGTACTATCATGCGAACAATCGTGTATATACCTGTATACATATGAATTTGTAGCGGATTTTATCGAGTACAAATATACGCGTTGGATGTATGTACGTATTTACAAAGAATTCAGAAGTCTCCGTGAAAGCCCAGAAGGACATGGATGTTTGATGCTTGATAAAAAGTGTCGGTAAGCGTAGGTAAGCCACTACCGTCAACTGCCGCATGGTATTACCATCACGAGTACGTGAGCCGCCAACGGCGACTGGTAGATGGTACCGCCATCGCGAGTGCGTGAGCTCCTATCAGAAATTCGTTGCGCCGCCCTTGGGGGCAAAAAACGGTGAAAGCTAATGTACGAAACCAGAGGGTAGCACAGGATGCGATCGTGCGATCCTGCCCGTGAGCAATCCCCCAACTCATCTCTGCTTATCTCTGCTTCTGAATTCTTTGGTACTTATTACTTTTGTAGGGAACACTATTTTATAGACTGATGGTAATCGTTGGTTTTAATTTCAAGTAATGTACCTTCCGTCCTGTATGGAAGGTAACGCCGTTGGAAACGCTAAGAACGTTTCGTGCCTAACCTCAGAGATGGCAGCACCAGAGCCTTCGACCGCAGCCGTGCCAATTCTTTTACGCCTTCCAGGAACATACTCTTCCTTCTTAGATGTCCAACCCGTCACTGCTGCATACATGTATGTAAACAAAATATGGTAATGCAAATTTAGTCACTTTTAATCCATCCATAAGGAGGATATTCCTACGTTCAAGAAAGCTCGTTGCGTTTAAAGTTTCATGTTGCAAATAAAAATGCGTGTCCTTGCTTCTAATCACTTTCTTTTATCCATTTGAAATTTCACGAGCATCGCATTTTCTTAGGGCCCCCACGATCACGTAGTAAAGGGTGAAATGATTCATTTGTAGGAACGTTTTATATATATTTTGACGTTTTACATATATAGAACCTCTTCGTATCACCTTAATTCCCCCCTCTTCCAGAGCTCTACCGTCCATTCTTTTTCAGACGATTACCCCGACGGGATGACGATTTCTCGAAGCCATCCTTGCCACCGTTGGACTCTGCATGGACGGAAAAAGAGGAAGCGCTAATCCGCGGAGCGGTAACAGAAGTTTCAACATAATTCCTGCCCAGTTTCGCTTGGTTTCTCGGGCACTTCCGGCGGTGCGAGCCGGAACGTTGGCCGGTGGTTCGGCGACGGTCGAAGGGGTTGTTCCCATTCGCATCCGGTTTGGAAAGTTCCTCGCGGAAGCTCGTTCCTGGTACCCGATGTAAAGGTACTTACTCCTACCAGGGAATAACCAGTTCGTGGTGGTACCGCCCTAGGTACCTAGTAGGTACCAAAGGCGTCTGTAGACGGCACCACCGTCGCTATCAACGAGTCGGCGTCTCGCAGGACCAGGTCCTGCCCAACTCGCAGTCGCCGCTCGGATCGCCGTCATTGCCAAGCAAGTTTATGGCCCAGACCGACGGCCATAAACTGTACGAATGGTAAATCTACCGTAAGATCATCCCAGCCGAAAATGATGTATTGCAGGTTCCGCGACGAGCGGGACGTACGAGCTCACGTATGGCTGACCCCAGCTAAGAGCCGCCAACCCCAGCCTCCTCTGGACCTCCTCCGGACCCCCCGCGTCCTTGCCAAACCCTGGCCGGAATTGCCCTGGAATTACTGCGAACTGCTGGTATCCCGACAATATGTTCCACGAGTCGATGTCCATCGACGAGGGGCCTTCGATGGCAAACTGTCCCCCGTGGGGGAAACGAGTCCTTCGGAACGACTAATTAGCCACTGCTGGATCCGGGGTGCCCTTAATTTCCTGCCCCTCGTTGGTACGCCCTCGTAAGCGAACTGCTTATCCAGCGGGATTTAAGGTGATATGAAATTGACGTCTCAGTTCATGACACTTTTCTCTAAACTGAGCGTACCGAATTGTCTGACATTCTATCGCGTGATTGCAGGTCGAGCTTATCGAGCGGGATTTAAGGTGATATGAAAGTGGCATCTGAGGGAGCAATCGTTCATCACAACTTCTCTTCAAACTAGGTATACCGAATTTTTTGAAATTTCCTCGCGTGAATACAGAGGCCCTAAGGAAGGGTCTGACACCCGTGAAATTTAATTATCTTTCTAATTTGTTTACACACATATTCCAATTTTCCTTCTCAAGGGGAAAAAACGACATATGGAATACGCCATTCGGTACAATTTTCAATGCAGCATGACGTAGCTGTCGATGTCAGTATAAATGTTGATAACAGGGCGCACTGTTTCAGATGGTACAGCAGGCAGAAGTATTCGTTTTTACCGGCGACGATGAAATTCCTCGAGTTCTGCTTCACCCTACCTTGCAGAACGCGGGATGATCAACGTGAGTGCCGCCATGTTTGTTAGTCTTTTAGGCTTCCTTTGAGACTGTAAATGTATGCATAACATAAATATGTGTATGCAGGTATGACAACAACAGCCCGTGGCCGAGGCACCGGAAGTAAGTCCGAGGTTTATCCGATCGCCTGGAAGCCGGGGAGATTGTGAGCTAATCAAGTGCGAGCCGATCGAGGGAAAAGGAAGAAAAACCTAGGAGAAACCGGGAAAAAGGAGGAACATGGAGGAACATCCCAACCAGAGAAGGCGCCGTTACGTAAGGTTTACGTAACCCCGTCGTTTATCAGGTAAGGTTACGTAAACCCGTCGAAACCGCGGCTTATGTACCCAATGGCGGGTGTCTCGTGGAAAGGTTTAATATCTTCTTACTCCTGGACTGCGAATATTCTATGGCGACATTTATCCGCCATTTCTATCACCGGCGCTAGTACTCATCAGCTTTTTCTCAAAGCTTCGGCTAAGTTAAGAAAATCGGGAGTTTACGTAACCGGGGATATTTAACCATTGTTTCTTTAACATCGACCGATGAAAGAACTTTCCTCGTGGTAGAAACGCTCATTGCTGGACACTTGGTTTGATTTGTTTTTAAGAAATCTCAAGAATAGCTGTTCTTTTTATGCACCAAGTATTACGTACATACTTGTTACATACGTAGAGATTAGAAAGAAAATTAAATTTCATAGGACAGGGTTAATTCATGGGGGGTATATCGCCCCTCATTTTTGTTTCCCATTATTGGCATGTATCGCTCGTAGATTTACTAAAGCCGGATGCCGTAGTGGGCCTTAAAACGGGCCTTAATGCGGACAGCTTGCGGGAATATTGGGGTAAGGGCGTCGGTTGGCCTTCTTAGGAGGGATTACGCGCGTTTTAGGGGGAATCGATGGGGTATCAATCGGGCCACTTTGCCGGGCCCGATGGACCGCCTTTGAAGGCCCGCCATTCCCCCGGGCCGTCGATTTAACTTTCGGATATCCACACCTGTGCTTACCTGGTCGACCCGTGCACCGGATCCGCCATTGTCGGCTATCGGGAGGAGTTAATAATGGAACTCTCGGCTTTTGCCTTTGTCAGCGGGCCCACATTGCGGCGGGAGATCCCGGCCCACGTGGGCCTGATCTTCTCCCGCCTCCTGACGGCCCTCTACGGGATCAAAAGGAATCAAACGCTCCACCGAACCGCCGGTGTGACCAAAAAACGCTCCTATCTTCTACGTCGACACGGATAACTACTTAGGGGAGAGCCTCTTCTCGGTAACGTCGACACACCGATTACGCGTTCACTCGCTAAAGGAGTTCCCCCGAATCCCAGCATGGGTATGATCCACGTGGAAATATTTACATATATGTGCGTGGATTAAAAATGTATGTTTTATTCACATGAGATGGCCGAACGTTATCTATTTTCGTATATGTTTTATTATATAAACAATATATTTTGATGTATCACATCTGTGATATATATATCAATGAGCGGTGCCGCAGGAAGTCCTTTAAAATTGCACAATTTGGGATCCGTGATTTTGAAGCTATTTCTTGAAAATCTTTTTAAATCTCTGATCTTGTGACTTGACATTTAAGCAACTTGTTGCAGAAGCTTTTTTAAAATCTTTCAGTTTGTGACTTGTAACTTTCAAGCAAGTTACCTTGAAAGCTCTTTCAAACAAGTTACCTTGAAAGCTCATTCAGAATCTCTCAGTTTCTGACTAGGGACTTTTAAGCAATTTATCTTTTTTATATCCCCCAAATTGTGGCTGGCGACACTTGTGACTTTCAAGGAAATTGATATTTTAAATTCTGAAAATTGTGACCCGCGACATTCGAGCAAAAACGTCGCAAGAGCTCATCTAAAATCGGCCAATTTGTATCTCGTAACTGCCCTTGTGAAACCCCTCAATTTGACTCGTGACTCTTAAGCGAATTGATTTTTGAAATCGCGCAAATTGTGAGATTAGATCAAAGTCCTCGCAAAAGCTCATCTAAAATCGGCCAATTTGTATCTCGTAACTTTCAAGCAAATTGCCACAAAGAAGCCCTTGTGAAACCCCTCAATTTGACTCGTGACTCTTAAGCGAATTGATTTTTCAAATCGCCCAAATTGTGAGATTCGAGCGAAGTCGTCGCAAGAGCTCATCTGAAATACCTGAATTTCTGACGAATCGGCCAATATGGGCCTTCCACGTCGGCTCGGTCCGGCAACGGAGGCCGCAGCGGAGGGCGCGGCCGGCAGCAACGGCAGCAACGGCGGCATCTGGTGCGCCCTCGCTCCCGGCGAGGCCGCGGCCGTTGTCCCGGCGTTACTTCCGTGACGGTGAGCTTGAATGCGCGCCGATAGTCGCGGCGGGAAACCAACGAGCCTACCCAAAGTCGCCCATGGTTTCCACGCATCCGAGCCCACCCGACCCGGCCGGGCCCGCGCCCAAAGAGCGCCCATCCACTCGCTCCCTGAAATAATAATGGAGGAATAAAAACCGGGAGAAAAGGAAAAAGTAATAATCTCGGGGATCTTTTAAAATCCATCGGAGCAGACGAAGCCGCCGGATTGTGTCGTGTGTCGGGGGCATCTCTTCGAGATGTATCTCTCTCTCTTTCTCTCTTTCTCTCTCTCTCTCTCTTCTCTCCGCGGCATCCCTTTTCTTCCGGCGTCTCTCTGCGAGCGCTGCCTTGTATCTCTCCGTCTGGCTGATGCTCGGTCTCTCTCGCTCTCGCT